TGGCAGGACTCCTCCGAGTCACAGGCGGTGGCCACCAGCCCCGTGCGTAGCTCCCGACGGGGCGATGCCTTCACGTCCAGCCCCGGCCGGGACCTCCCCCCCTTCGAGGATGAGTCCGAAGGGCTCCTGGGGACCGAGGGGCTCCCCGAAGAGGAGGAAGAAGGAGAAGAGCTCATCGGGGAAGGGATGGAAAGGTAAGGAAACCGGTGGGAGCCAGCTTCTGGGGGGGTGTGTGTCTGGGGATGGGGTTTGCTAACAGGGTGACAGTGCGGCCAGCGACATGGGGGTTCTCGGCCATGATGGGGGTCTCTCTGCTGTGCTGGTAGTGGGGGTGAGGGGGGTGAAGACCTGCTGGACAGTGGAGAAAGGTGAGGGCATGATGTCATTTGAGTGCTGGAAGAGCTGAGCAGATTGCCAGCTGGGAGCAAAGTGCCATCATGACCTGGTGTGGGTAAACCAGGATCTCCCTGGATGTGTGATGTACATACAGCCCAGCTCCTTACTCCTGCAGGTGTAAATTTTAATGTTTACTCAGCCAGGCCTGCCGGCAAGCTGGTGAACTTTACAATACAAAGGCTTGAATGCTGGCATTCACAACCATGGTGCTGGAGCCCTTGGTCCTGCAGGGCATCTTCTGCTGTGAAGCGCCTTCCTGCTCGACATGTTCAGTCTTGCTGCAGAACAACTGTCCTGACACCTACCCAGCAGCAGGCAGAGAAGGGCTGGAGAAATGCTTTCTGGAGCCTGGCCTGATTCAGTGCTATGTGTGTGTGCTAGGGACTACCGCCCCATCCCTGAGCTGGACGTCTATGAAGCAGAGGGCCTGGCCTTGGACGATGAAGATGTGGAGGAGCTGACTGCCAGCCAGCGGGAAGCCGCAGAGCGAGAAATGAGGCAGCGAGACCGTGAACTGGAGCAGGGCATGGGCCGCATGAGGAGGGGGCTTCTTTACGGTAGGTGCAGATGAGCTGTGCCAAGTGGGCTGCTGATCCCCATGTGGCTGACTGTAAGCCGGCCCTTGTGGGGAAGCTGGGCTCTCGCCCTCAGAGTAGCAGGGAGGACCCTGGAGCTGCAGTGTATTTGGGCTCTTAGTGAAATCTCTGGCTGTGACCTTGGCTGGACTCCCCAGCGTGTGATCCCTTTGATTTGGGCTTCGTAGGAGCTCGTTTGGTGTGTTCTGCTTACGTGTTTGCAGCTGAAACAAAATCAGGATCCTGGGCCTGTATCAAGGGTTTGGGATTCTATTGAGCTTATGCTGTGGAGTTTGTTGGTGTTGGTGTTCCTACAGAGATCTTTGTGGGCTGGATGGGAGGGCCTTTGATGCACTTGGAAGCCCATTCCTTGGCCTTCCTCCCTCAGTGCGTTAATGGACACGACTGCGTGCTGTTTCATACAAATCTTCTTATTCACCTCCGTAGAATATTTGGCTATGTTGTGGAAGATGTAGGAACCAGGCTAGAACTGGATTTAGGCTGGGCCTGGGATGGTTCTTGGTTTGTATCCCAGGCTCTGACCTCTTTGTTTCTACAGCCTGTGCAATCCAACCATGACTAATCCAAAGAATGGGAATGGGAATCCCAACTCTTCAACATTTTTTCCTCCCAACCATTAGATAGTGACGATGAAGATGAAGACCGTCCTTCACGGAAGAGGCGGCTGGCGGAACGGGCTGCCGACGGCATGGAAGAGGAAGATGAAGACATGATTGAGAGCATTGAGAATCTGGAAGACATGAAAGGGCATTCGGTGAGGGAGTGGGTTTCCATGGCAGCTCCCCGGCTTGAGATCTACCACCGCTTCAAGAACTTCTTGAAGACCCATGTGGATGACCATGGGCACAATGTCTTCAAGGAGAGGATCAGTGACATGTGCAAAGGTAGGGCTGGGTGATTAGAGGCTCTCTGCTCTTTATGTGGGTCATGGTACTTTGCAGTGATCCAGTCCCTAGGTGGGTTTTTTTCTGCCTTCCCTGTTTGTCTCAGACATTGAGTCAGCACTTTAAGAAACTCAGATGCTGATGGACATAAATGAATAACGGAAACATGTCTACTATCTTCTTTGATTCTGGCTGACTAATTAGAAGGCCCCTGGCGTCTGCTACTCATTAATATTCATATCATAGAAATGCTAGCAAAAGACTATGTGGGGCAGCAGACAGTGGTCTGCAAACTTGCGATCTGAACGAGACAACAATTGCTTGCTGTCTGTGCCGGTTACTTTCTCACACTGGAAACTGGATTATCCAGCGAGGGAAGACAAATAGACCCTGTGACTTTGAAAACCGTGTCAGTGTTGCAGCCTTGTATTCTGACTAGGCACTGCCAGAAGAAGGAATCATTAAGGTTGTCATTGATAAATTTTAAAAGCAGAAATTGTCACATCTAGGAACAGCTTATGTAACTGCAGTTGTTCTTTTTTTCTTCTTTATATTGAGGCAGAAGCTCCAGAAGCTTGAGTAGTAGATCAGGGTCAGTGTTACACAGCTAGGAAATAAAAGGCATTTGTCTTGTCCCTTTCCAGGAACACAAGACACAGGAGGTTTTTTTGCCAGCCATTCAGCATAGCTGTCTCTCCTATTAACTTCTGTTTCCTGGAGGTCTGTGAGAGAGTTGTGTGTTGGGTCAGGCTTTTGAGTCTCAGGAGCACTGAGCCTGGGAAGTATCTGTGCGGAACTGGAGAGGAACGATCACAAATTTGGTACTGATGCAGAATTTGTCTAGAGAAATAAATTAAAAAGAGTTTTCCGCCCATTTTTGAATTGTTGACCTCTAAACCTTTTTCAGGGAAGGTGCGGACATCTGCAAACTGCAGGATACAGGCTTGTCTTCTGGCTCTGTTTGCAGACTCCTTGAGGAGTGAGCAGGTTGAAAATACAATTCACCCCCTCTTTTTCTTAAGAGAACAGAGAGAGTCTGGTGGTGAACTATGAGGATCTGGCAGCCCAGGAACATGTCCTTGCCTACTTTCTGCCTGAGGCACCGGCAGAAATGCTGAAGATCTTTGATGAAGCAGCCAAGGAAGTGGTGTTGGCCATGTACCCCAAATATGATCGTATTGCTCAGGAGATCCATGTCCGTATCTCCCACCTCCCTCTGGTGGAAGAGTTGCGGTCGCTCAGGTAAGTAGCAGAATTACCCGCAGTGGGTGTGGGACCTGCAGCAGGCTTTGGGGTGCTCAGCAGAACTAGTCTGCAAGCTAAAGCTCTGGGTAAGTCCAACAGGATGACTGAGCTTATTACAGAAACAAAGTCAGATTAAATATGAACTTCCAATGTCCCCAAAGGTAAAACACAAACCCTGCGAGAAAACTACTGGTAACTATTTCTTACTGGGCCTTTGGGAGTTTTATAGCGAGAATATTTCTGTAGCATGTTCTGCCTTCTGTGCCCTGCAGGCATCCAGCATCTCTCTTGTCTTTCCTCAGGCAACTGCACTTGAATCAGTTAATTCGGACCAGCGGCGTGGTGACGAGTTGCACAGGGGTCCTGCCTCAGCTCAGCATGGTCAAATACAACTGCAGCAAGTGTAGCTTCATCCTGGGACCCTTTTTCCAGTCCCAGAACCAGGAGGTGAAACCCGGTTCCTGTCCAGAGTGTCAGTCACTTGGCCCCTTTGAAATCAACATGGAAGAGGTAAGAGATGTGCTTGCCTGGATGGGGCTGTCTGTTTGTCTTGCCCAGGCTGCTACACCGCCTGCTCCTCCCAGCCCTGCCTTGCCTCCCACCCTTTGAACAGGCTTGGTGCTGGGAGAAGAGTCTACTGCTATATCCAGGGGTCTGTGAAGACAGATCTTGGCTGTTTGAGCTCTTGACCTGAATCTGCCCAATTTAGCAGCCAAAAGTAATTTACTGCCTCATCGTAAGCGTTTGGGCTGGATCTTTTGCCACAGTCATCTCTGTGGTACAGTTACCTATCCATATTGTGGAAAAGCAGACAGACTGTCCCGCTCTCCTCTTTCCCATGTTAGCTCAATATTTCATTATCTGCCAGCTAAGGGAACTATAGGACAGTAGCAAAATCACAGATGTGGAGCTTCTGACTTTTATTCTTTGCTTTGTTATCTTTAACCATCACAAGTGGAGCATCCTCCTCCTAGGAACCGGTCCAGTATTTGGGTGGACAAGCACTGTGGTGGCTGAAACACAGTGGTGAGATGTGGCAAAGTGCTTTCCTGTCCCCATTGTTGCCTGTCACATCCTGGAATTGCTCCTCACAACCTCCATCCTGCTACGCCCATGGTTTTCTAACCAAAGTATAGTAAATCTTTGAATGGACCTTCTCTGGTGAGGTGCCTTTGAAAAGCGTTGGCTATGCTGATGCCTCCCAGACTTGCTGGGTAACTTTTATTTTGTTGCTGCAGACAGTCTATCAGAACTATCAGCGCATCAAAATCCAGGAGAGCCCTGGGAAGGTAGCTGCCGGCAGGCTGCCCCGCTCCAAGGATGCCATTCTCCTTGCTGATCTGGTTGACAGCTGCAAGCCAGGGGATGAGATTGTGAGTATGTTGTTGAACTCAAGTATGGGGTGAGCACAGAGCGTTTGTGAACTCTTGACAGTGACATTGTGGGAACACCTTTGGGGAGGGATTGCCATCATGTGTATTTAGGCAGCTACTTTTGAGAGTGGTAAAATGGAGAGGGGGCTGTTTTGTACTGTGCAGGCACTGACATACCATCTCCTGGTTCCCAGGAGCTAACAGGGATCTACCACAACAACTATGACGGCTCCTTGAACACTGCCAACGGGTTCCCAGTATTCGCAACTGTGATCCTGGCCAACCACATTGCCAAGAAGGACAACAAGCTGGCTGTTGGAGAACTGACTGATGAAGATGTGAAAGTGATTGTGGGTCTGTCCAAGGATGAGCAAATTGGGGAGAAGGTGAGTCAGCCTCAAACATCCCTTCTTTTCCTGTTGATAGCTTGCCGTCACCTGGCAGCTGGATCAGAAAGTGATGAAAGGTGTCAGCTGGCTAAACAGTGGTTAAAGAAACTCTTAGAAATTCCAGTTCCTTCTCCATAGGCTTCTGTAGCTCTCAGACAGCTGTTGATGAGAGTGAGTTATAGGAGGGAAGTAAATAAGAAACTTTGCTTGTACTTTTGGGTGTCAGATTTTCCGTTTCTCCCTTTCCTTCTCTGAGCCTTCTACATCACAACAGGGCTGGAAGAGAGATACTGAGACACTCAGACACTGCCTATATCTGATCATTGTTTTCTCCCCCCATATCTTAAAAGCAAAGTGGGGGAAGTGTTCTGAGGGGCCAATGCTTGCATCTCCAATCCCTGCAAGGGGATGTTGTTACTCAGCTTAAGCTGTGGTAGAGATCTTAGCTTTGCTTCTCTCTGCATGCTAATACCTGAATCCAGTACTTGAAAGAATGAAGCTCCTGGATTGGTGCATGTTCAACCTTGCTTGGGTCAAGTTTAAGCTCTGTAATAGGGGGACTTCACTCTGCTGCCTTGGTCATGCTCTTTTGATATTGACTGCTGTTCCCAGTGGGTGGAGGAGCTTCGGTTGAGCCAGGACTGTTTTAACATCAGTAGTCTCTAGCATCAGGCTACTATCGGACTATCCTTGAGAAAATAAGCTGGTTGTTCATAATTGACCATGGTGAAAATTCATGTGCGGTATAGCCCATCCAACTACTATCGGGTGCAGTGAGTAAGTCTCAAATCAAGGTCTCCCACTTTGCAACGGCTGATAACAGCCACTGTGGTGTGCGTTCTGTACCACAGGAGTGTGGAGGCAGTGACAGCAGCTTCCAGTGCCAGACTACACAATCTGCTGTGCCCCAACAGCACTATTTTTGTGAATCACCTTTAGGGGACTCTGGGTGGGTGGTTAACCTTTGAAAAAGTCCCCTCACCGTGGAAAATAAAAGACTCTCCAGTGACAGCAGTATTCTAAGGATAACCATAGATACAGCCCCTTGCTGATAGTCGTGCCAAATTCTGTCCAGACTTGAAAATGGTATTCACTGGGCAACTTCTCTGGTTTTCCTTTCAGATTTTTGCCAGCATTGCCCCATCTATTTACGGGCATGAAGATATCAAGAGGGGCTTGGCTTTAGCTCTCTTCGGTGGAGAGCCCAAAAACCCAGGTGGGTGTCATTTCTGTCACTTGATGCTTCAGTCAGCTGAAAGCAAATGGATCTGGTTTTGTCTGCGCTGTGGCAGTGAGAGTGGTTAGAGCTGTCTGTGTGTCTTGGTGACAGACGAGGTAACAGACTGAGGGATATCTGTGATGGAAGTGGCTGCTTTTATCACACTGAAAACTCTGGTGTGACAGTAGAAACGCTAAGACTGAAAACAGCTCCTGCTGCAAACCTGGGCAAGCTTTTATCCCTCCTCCTCTAGGAGGTCGTGTTTGATGCTCCTTCAGAGGTTTGACCTTTTGGTGTCTTGATTTGTTACTATCTCCTTTTTAGAAGGATGTGTTCAGCAAGGTTAGAAGTGCTGTTTTACACGTGACCACCTCCAAAGCTGATTTTCTTTTTCCCTCAACTTCCCTGTAAAGTGGTTTCCCTCCTGCTCCTTGCCTTCCCTTCAGCTTTGTGGTGTTCAGGGCAGGGTTGCTATCAAGCTATGCACTCAAATGCCAAGATGTCTCTCCCATTACTATTGTAGGTGGCAAACACAAAGTCCGTGGTGACATCAATGTGCTTCTGTGCGGAGATCCTGGTACTGCAAAATCACAGTTTCTTAAATACATAGAGAAGGCGTCTAGCAGAGCAATCTTCACCACTGGCCAGGGTGCTTCTGCTGTAGGTCTTACAGCCTATGTCCAGAGGCACCCAGTCAGCAAGGAGTGGACTTTAGAGGCAGGAGCCCTGGTGCTGGCTGACAGAGGTGTCTGTCTGATCGACGAATTTGACAAGGTGAGGCCTGGTTTCGTCTCTGTGGGAAGGATTAGCTCTGCAGGGACTGGCTGTAACCTCTGCGATGAGGAGACACTGTAACTCATGGTGCCATCTCCCAGCTGACTGAGACTCCTGCAGTTTGCTTAGGCCCTTACTGGTCCATAGTGCAGTTTGCTACTTTTTCAGAGCATCAGGAGCTGATTCCCCTTGGTGTGTTGTGCGATACGTATAGACATAGATGCAGTTTAAGTCATTCTTGCTTGTTTATAGATGAATGATCAAGATAGGACCAGCATCCACGAAGCCATGGAGCAGCAAAGCATTTCCATCTCCAAAGCAGGCATTGTCACATCCTTGCAAGCCCGCTGCACCGTTATCGCTGCTGCTAATCCCATAGGTAAGTGCTGAGAGACCAGAGGACCATCTCAGACCTCCAGCATGAGTCCTGCTCAATAAAGTCTCTCTGTGTAGGAGGTCTATGCTTGCTTCAAAGCTTCATCCCTGGAGCCTGTGTTTGACTTTGAGGTTTGCCTCTATGATCTAGGTGGGCGATATGACCCATCGTTAACTTTCTCGGAGAACGTAGACCTGACAGAACCCATCATCTCTCGATTCGATATCCTGTGCGTGGTGAGAGACACAGTGGACCCTGTGCAGGTACAAGCCATGCTATGAGTCTGAGGTTGTGCTGGGTTTATGATGCTGCTGCTGGGATGCTCAGCTGCAGTTGCCCACTGAGTTTTCCTATCCAGTGAGTGTCTTCGGTGTCTGTTCCACTGCTCTCTTGTAGGATGAAATGCTTGCCCGGTTCGTTGTTGGCAGCCATGTCAAGCACCACCCGGGTAGCAAGGAGACAGTGAATGGGGATGCCAATGAGGTCATTCTTCCCAACACATACGGGGTTGAACCTATTCCCCAGGAGATCCTGAGGAAATACATCATCTATGCCAAAGACAAAGTCCACCCCAAACTCAACCAGATGGACCAGGACAAGGTGGCCCGGATGTATAGTGACCTCAGGAAAGAGTCTATGGTGAGAATACTGAGGAAAGGGGGGAAGAAGGATGTATCTAGACTGCAAATCAGCCTGAGACTGCTCCAGCATATGTTGACACATTCTTGCCATTCCTGTCACAAGAGTCTGTGCCACTGTTTTGTGAGAGACAGGCAGATCCTGCAGTGTCTGCTGAACAGATGATCCTTCATCTAAATGCAGTCTTGCCTGTTGGTGATCTGTGGACTTGACGGACTGGACACATGTACTAGTGCCTGTCATGGCAAAGTCTTCTTACTGTCACCCATTCTGGCAGGCCCACAGGAGATGTTTGCATTCACCCAGACCCATATGCACCTGGTACATTACAGGGAGCTGTTCTGTGTAGAAGTGCCCTTCTCTTTTGTTCATGGGATCTTTCAGGCTCATTTTCATGCTCTCCAAGTGGAAGAGGAATTTTTTGATGTCAGAGGGAGATTTTTGGAGCTTGGGAAAACTCTAACTCTTCTTTTTTAACTGGCTTTTTGTTTCTTTAACTCCTTCTAAAAGTTGCTGGGGGAAACAGGATTGCTGTTCCTGGAAAGGCACTGAACGTTGGCAAAGAAGGGACCCCACGTAGCATCCCCTTGCACCCCGCTGAATTAAAATGTTGAACAGGGGAGCCTGTACCGCTCTGTGCAGAGCGTGCCAGCAGGTGGCAGAGCCTCCTTAGCCTGAGACAGTTCTCAGGTCCAGGAGCAGCTGCCTCCAGAGTGAAGTAGGTCCTGGGCCAGAAGCCACCTGTCTTGCCCTATGTCTTTTATCCTTCAGTAAGGATTTGCCTCCTCTTCTCCCCCCTTAGGCAACCGGCAGCATCCCCATCACAGTGCGTCACATTGAGTCCATGATCCGGATGGCCGAGGCTCACGCCCGCATGCACCTGCGGGACTATGTGGTGGAAGATGACGTCAACATGGCTATCCGGGTGATGCTGGAGAGCTTCATTGACACGCAGAAGTTCAGCGTCATGAGGAGCATGCGCAAGGTGGGCACCAGCTGAGCCAAGGGCTGTAGCTGCACCCCAGACCCTGTGGGTTCGATTGCAGCCCTTGAGCTGCCCTGGCTGTGGGAAGACACTCTTCCATGCTCTGCAGGGCTCTGTCCTGCAGAGTCGGGCACTGAACCTGTGTAAATGGAGTACTGTCAGTCTGAGGGCACTGCTACATGACTGCCCTTCGTTAGTCTGTGGTGGAGCAATGTTTTTGTTGGGGCTGAGAAGGAAGTGTGCCCTGAGCCTTTGTATCAAAAGCACTGCCGCATCTCTCTTCTTTTTTGACACCATCCCTGCTATTTTGGCACAGGATTCCCACTGCTGCTGCTGCCAGGTGATGGAGCCCAAGCAGGCAGTTAGTTTCTTCGCGTTTTTTCCTAGGGCTGCTCAGGGGACAGTTAGCCACAGGGCAGCACTCACTGGGGTTTAGTGCAGTCTGCCCTTTTCTCTGCGTGGCAGGGGCTGGCTCCGAATGGCTCTTGGCTGGCCACTCTGGCATTTATCCACTCCGAGTGTCTGCCCTCAGTCTGGATGACTCGTGGCCTCTCTCTTTGGCTGCAAACAGCCAGCCAAGTGTGAGTGTCTGTTGCCGGGGGGGCAGGACAGTCTGGTATAAGGAAGGCTGTTCTATACCTTCCCCAGGGCCAGTCCTCCCATGGCTGCTTCCCACACGGGCAGCTCACCTCCACAGCAGTGCACTGCCAGCCCCCGAGAGGCTCCAGGGCCCCTCCTGAGATTTTTAATGGGTGTAAGAGCAGCTGACAGAGGAGCGCATTGCTGTCACAGGGCTGTGTTTTAACTGCATGTGCAGGTGGCAGCTTGGCAAGGCCGAAGTCCCTTAAGAGACACTAAGGGTGCGGGTGGCAGTGGTGTCATTTAGTTCCCCTTGTGTTCTGTGGGAGGAGGGGGTTGGTTGGTGTTGGGCACGGGAGACCTGCAGCGCATCACACGGTTCCTGACCCTCTTGGCTTATCTCATCCTTCCCTCCCAGACGTTCTCCCGCTACCTTTCTTTCAAGCGAGACAACAACGAGCTGCTGCTGTTCATCCTGAAGCAGCTGGTTGCAGAGCAGGTGATGTACCAGAGAAACCGCTATGGGGCCCAGCAAGACACCATAGAAGTCCCAGAGAAGGACCTGGTGGATAAGGTATGGGCTTGTCGTAACAAGCTTTCTCTGGGGTTGGTTCCTGCTGTCTCTCTGCAGCCTCAGAACCAGAGGTGCTCTCAGACTTGTAACTTCCCTTCCTGAGTTATGGTACCAGAAAAAAACCTGGTGTTAATTTAGCCCAGAATCAAGGCTGTCTCATCTCTCTCTGCTCCTCTCTGGGAGTGCCAAATTCTTCCCCCTCAGTTCTCGTGCAACCCCATAAAGCTTTGAGGATGGAGTGGTAAGTCCTGTGATACGGCTGGTGCTTTGCAAGTGAATGAGGACACAAGTTCCCTGGCACCTGCATTTGAAGAAGGAATGAGCTGAAAAATCTTTATTTGTATGAACTTTCCCAATCCCTCCTGAGGCTCACCCTCCTCCTCCTTAATGCATCCTCATCCTGCATTCCTGGCTCTGCCTGTGCAAAGTATTGACCTTGCTTGGCACTAAAGCAGTATTTGATTCCTGGGTTGCTGCTTTTCTGCTCTTTGCCTCAAATGTGCAGATTAACTACTTCCAGAGCCACCAGCTTGGTGCTGCCGGTGAGACCACCCCCAGTCAGAGGTCTCCTGCAAAACTGTCTCCCGCTGGGTGAGATATCAGGGGCTTTTGGATAGTGGTTACATTCTAGCTGTACTGGAAGTAAAAGGATGAGCTGAGAGCAGGCAGATGCTGAGCCAGCATCCTCTCTTTGCTCAGCTCAGCTCTGCCGATGCTCCTTTCCTCCTGACCTGCAGTCTCCCCTGCTACTGCAGTTCTGGTTACTTCCTGCTGAGAACAGCAGAGATTGCTGACTGTCAAATTTTATGCAGCCTTTGCTATGGAAAACCACGTGTTTTGTTTTGTTTTTTTTTAATAAACATTTACCTCTCCCCTCCCTCCTCCTCCTCCCAGGCTCGGCAGATCAACATCCACAACCTCTCTGCCTTCTATGACAGCGAAGTGTTCAAGATGAACAGGTTCAGCCGGGATGTGAAGCGGAAGCTGATTGTCCAGCAGTTCTGAGGCTGGAAGCAGAGTTTGCGACGTGCTCCTGTGAGACAAAACCTGCATCTTGCATCCCTCCCAGGAATGATACAGAGATCACGATCCAGTGGGACTAAGCTGCACGTTCTCTTGCTTGCTTTGTGCCTTATGGATTAAAGGAGCACTGAGCTGCTGAAGAACTTGTAAATAGAACAGAGTTAAGTAGTTAAATGCCCAGCCAAGTCTGTTTAGCAACTTCGTTCACTGTTTTGCCTTGTAGCTAAGCACAACAGGGAGAGAATTGCTGGCCACATAGATGGCATGTTTGCTGTTTGTTTGTCACCAGTTGTTACGGGCTCATCTGCAGGAGAGACCAAGTGGGAACATTCGAAAAGCATTTGTCTGCCTTATCCATGCCCCTTGGATTGCGAGCACCCTCAGGGATTCTCTTTTCCCATCTCTGGCGACTGTGCAGCCTGCTGGGTGATAATTGAGACTGCTTTCAACTCCATGAACCAGCCAGCCGCTCCGCTCCAGGCCTTTGTGCCTGACGCTTGACATTTCCCCAGGTGCCCACATGGGTTGACCTTGTGCTTGGTTTCTGCAAGGGAGGGAGGGGAGCAGAGGAAGATGAGAACCAAAATAAAACATAACTATTTCTAATATTAGCGGTGATGTGTGTGGGCAGTACATGCTGGGGCAGTGTCCAGAAGCCTTAGGGAAGGGGCTTCCCCTGCCTTACTGAGCGTTATCTCTGTGCAGCTGGCGGCAGATGTAAATTTATGGCTAGATCGAAGGACTGGCATCTAAACTGAATACCTTCTCATACCCATTTGTTAATGGTGAAGAGTACCCATGGTGCTGGGTTTGGGAGTAGCAATGGAGGAGCCCCGAGCTGGAGGTGTTCAGGGAGGCCAGGATGGGCTCAGTGTTCACATGCAATTTTCTTATTGTGCACATTTTGAATACATTTGTTTTTCAATACTTCTGTGTTTCCTCCTCTTTTGGGAACTCCTGCGGCTGTGTGGGGAAGGAAGAGTGTAAGTGAGCAACGTGGATGCTGGACCAGCTGCTCAGCAGTTTGTGGGACTGGGGTTGGGTACAAACACATCCCATGCTTGCTCTTCAGGTTAGGAACTGCCAGTGCTGGTGTCAGCTATTGCACGTCTTCACCGTGGATAAATACCAGGACATGGTTGTCCACAGGAGTGTCACGAGCACTGCCTTTCCCACCAAGGGCCTGCCTGAAGTGGCTCCTTCCCTGTCTTGCCTGCTTATTGGATCACTGACCCCTCTGTGGGACTCTCTCCTGTAAATGTTTGTATCACCTTGAGACTGTCCTGCCACAGTACGTGTCTCCCACCTCCCTTCCTTTCCCACTCTTGGGTTAGACAGCCTTGATCTCATGGTTTGGCTGCCACTTGGATTCCAGTCTGGGAGAAGCAGTAAACCCTCTTCAAGACGTAGCTGAGGTCTGCAGTGAATGTGCTTTGCCTGGCTAGATTTACAGGACCGTAAGGCATCTCCAGCCTCCTCCTGCCTGTGCTCGAGAAAATTTGTAAGCTGGCTGCTGCAATTCTGTGCTGGCCAAGCAGACATGTCCCTGGCTGTCGACACTGTGGGGTTTGTCATGGTGATGCGCGTGCGCGTGTGTCCTCTCAGCCTGGTTGTTACTCGGGAGCTAGCAGTGCTTGAACCCTGCTGGGGGCTTAGCACATGACTCTCAGCCTGAAACTGGCTCCGCGTGTTGCCTTTTCTGTCTGCCAGCTCCCTCCTGTGTATTTGTTTAACTGTTTTGGCTGTTTTTTTCCCTTCCCACTGGGTCTCTGTCTACCAGGGCTTTCTGCGGGCAGCGCATAGAGACACTTTCCTGGCATGCCTTCCCTGCCCGAGCTAGCCCTTTGCCCCCTGAATGTGTGTGCGCTGGGGACGGCAGAGCTGCCGTGTGCCTGGAACCGTGTGGTGAGGCCCAGCGTGGTTCCTCAGGGCTGGGCACAGGGCTGTTAGCACCTCACCTCCTAATGCCAGGGGCCATGGGCAGAAGCCATCCCTGGGGAGAGCCATGCCAGCACTTGCAAGCTGTGCCCAACTTTGTGGGAACCACATACCTTGCCAGGGAAGGTGCTGGCCCTGAGGTAGCAAAACCAGCAGTGACGAGGGATGCGACAAGCTTTTCGAGCAAACTGAACTTGTGTGTCGTGGGGTGAATGTTGGGTGCGGGAGGAGAAAGAGGCTTTGTGTTGCGCTGGAGAAATACAAAATGCTTCCTGAACACTTGCAACCTTGTGAAGTCTCTGCCATGCCTGTAGTTACCTGCACAGAGTTGAATATGTGGCCGAGCACGTCACCGCAAACCATGAGAGAATACACGGGAATGGAGTGGGACTCCTGATTTTCCCAGCTCCTTGCCCTGCTGCCGGACAGAGCTGTTGACAGTCACTCTTCAGTTTTGTCCTACAACTCACTCCTGCCTCCCATGCTCTGGTCCCACCTCACTTGGCACACAGTGTAAGCAGTGGCAACAGAGAGATGCCACTGTTGGAGTCACTTATTTGCCACTTTGCTCAGTCTGCCTCCTCCCGAATCCTCGCTACAAAGGCAGTTATGCCCTCCCGTCTTGTGTTGCCAGCATCCAGCAGAGCAATGAATTCTTGCAGCTGCGCCCTCGCTAATGTTGGCATCAGCCGCTCAGTGGAGTGTTAATGCCGGTCTGAAGGCATGTTCCTCCTCTCACGGCCACTGAGCTTTTCAGGTTCCCTGGAGCAAGCTTTGGCTGTTGACAGCATCAGGTGTCTGGTTTGGACAGGGCTGCAGACAGGGGTGAAAACAGAACAGGGTCTGCCTTGCCAGGGGCCATGTTCCAGCTGAACATAGCAAGGATTTTACTGCAGGGCTCTGGAGATCAGCAAGCCAAGCCGCGCGCTCATGAAACGAGGAGTTGCTCCCCTGACAACCTTGAGTTTAGCCGAGCTTGAGCACTCGGCTTCTCGCTGCTGTGATTCAAACATCGCACAGCGCCTCTGACAACCTGGGGCAAAAGCAAGAGTCTTGGGGAGGTGAGGTTTGTCCCCAACAGGCCGTGCCTGAGCTCAGATGGAAGATGATGAGGGTGCTCCTTGCAGAGCAGACAGGGCTTTGTGAAGCCAGGCAGAGTCCCTTCGAGCAGCCATTCCCCCCTTGTGATTGTGGCTGTTGGCAAGTACTGGGTGAGACTGGCTTGGAACAGCATCTTGATTTGAAAAGGGCATGATGGGCCAGATCCAGTTTAACTTGAACATGCTGTGTGCACACTCCTGAGAGAACAGCATGGCGCTCTGCATCTCATAAAAAGCTGTTTGACCTTAGCCCAGCACAGAGCATATATATACACACACACACAAACTGTGCATACACGCCTGCTTGGGGTACGTGAGCAGTGCCTGCAGAGAACCAGCTAACACGTGAGGGTATGTGATTTGGGAAAAAGGGGGAGACAAGCCCGCTCCCCTTCCCGCAAGCTCTTTCCTACCTACTGACAGGGTTTACAGTCTTGATAGCTTCTGCCTTTATTGTGATCATAAACCAACACACTACACCTGCAGGTCCTGGGTTGTATCCAGTGTGCTAACGGCTGTTTCTGAGTCTGCTTGTCAAATAGCAGATGCCCCTCGAGCAGGGGAAGTTCTACCTCCAGTAATACATTTTTTTTCCCCTTCAAATTAATGCCAAAGCCACTTAGAAAAATTAGCATATGCAGCACTTCTGGACCAGCAGTGTTTCACTTTCTCCCATGCCAGGCTTTGGCTGGAACATCCTCTGTCCATCTTCTGTGTGCTTACTAAAGAGCTGTCTGGAAACTGGTTGACAAGAGCTTCCCCAGTGTAACTGTGCTCAAGATGTAGGAGCTGTGTTGGATGGTATCATCTTCCTGTCCTAGAGGATGCCAACTAGCTGCAGTTCAACCAGGAGGGCCACTTTGGGTGCCTATGGCTCTGTCCTTGTTGACCTCAACTGACCTGAATACCCAAACTCCAGCATGTGATCGCTGAGCTGTGAAGACAGTATGGGAATAAGTTTACAGATGTGTATCTACAGATACAGATGAGTCACTGCAGACAGCTTCCCCTCATGCCATGCTGCAGGGAGGATGCACTCTGAACTTCCTAGTATTTTTCCATCTCCTAAAATACTTTTCCACTTAACAAGGCAGAGCCAAAATTGGATCAGGCTTCTGCTGTATTTTGCATCTATTATGCAGTTCTTGCTGCCATTGCTGATTTAATGTCTCCATTATCACAGAGTACTGGTCTGCCAATGACTCCAGCCATCCAGCATACTCATCGGCCACAACTAAAGGTCTGTGAGGAGCCTTGAGGCGCTACTGAGCACTGCATCTTCAGAGCAAACAATCGTTGGAAGGGGGTCATGCCCATTTCTGCTCATCTTGCAAGTCACTTCCCTCTAAAGGCAAGCTGGGGGGGGAACCTACTGGAGGTGCCAAGTTTCTTCTCTGGGTTATCTAGTGCTCAAGGAGATCTGAAAGTAACTGCCCTGCGTAAAAGGTGATGAAGAGCTTTAGTCCCATCAATCTGCATAGAAACACATATGTGGAAATGCCAGTAGTCCTCATGAGCCAATGCACGGCTCTCCTTAGAGCCAGCAGACACCAGCTCTCTTCAGACACAGGCTGCTCCCTCTGCTCTGAAGATAGATACCCACGTCCCAGTTAGCCAGCTATTAAAGAACCAGAAGTTTTTCTGCAGATAACATTAGGATTTTCAGTTTAGCAAGGAAACGTATAAACCATCACTAGATTCTTATCAGTGAAGATACTTTGCTTATTGAGAAGTAAAAACTCCCCCAAACTTCTTAAATCACTGTGCAAGGAGAGAAATTTATTTTGTCAGAGCCCTGGAGGGTACTAATAGGCCTTAATTGCCCTAAGCAGGCTCACCTGGGGCCTCCACTCGCACCTCTGGCCCAAGTGCTCTATTTAAGCTCGGCATGGGGGCCTCAGGACCTGCCTGAGCTGGGAGTGCTGGTTTGTTGTGGTTAGTCACAGTCCCTATTGTTTTGGACTGTGACCCCTAGACCGCCTTCCTGACCTTGGCTGTCTTCTACTGCTATGGAGCTGCCAAGTGATCACTGGATGGTGTCTGACCATGGTTATCATCAGCAGACCTTGATTCTGACCTATGGATGGGTTTCCTGACTGGATGTTGGACTGGCTTCATCACCATGAGGTTCTCTGAGGATCTGGATTTCTGGGTGAATCTGGCAGCTATCCCCGAGCTGTCCTGCTCACCTGCCTTGGGTACTGGGGGGACCCTGTTCTCCTGGCTGTTATTTTGCTCAGCTCCCTGATGTGTGTTCCTTAAATCCTGCATTGGGAGGGCTTGGCAATCACTTATTCGGACTCAGGTCATATCTCTAAACCAGGCAGAGTTAAGACCAAACCTCCTGCACCTTGTGACCAACCTCCTGGCTCTACTGGGCTTTAGCCTGCTTATGCTTCTGCCCCAGTAAAAAGCTTCAGAAGGTGTGAGGTTTCCCTGCCATCATGACATCTATCTTTCTGCATTTCTGCAGAGTTTCCATCCGTTCCAGAAAAGCATTTGGTCTCTGTTTAGGATGTCAGATGATGAGCTCAATGCAGAGATAAGGGCGTTCTCCAAGCTGTGCTGTACAGAAGCCCAGCTTAAATGATGTAAATTGAGATTGTACGTGAGAGATGTAGTCCTTTCTGTCTGGGAGCTCAGCAGTCACTCCTCATGCAAGTGGAAGGCTGTGACCATCCCTCTGCCCGCTAGCTCCATCAGAGTGATGTGACTGGGTTGCCGTTGCTCATGAGTCCCCTAGGCTATGAGGGAACCTGCATGGGCTTTCAGCTGGAGAGCTGTCTGCTTCCTTGACCCGGGTGGCTCTGTTAAAGGTTACTCTGGCCCCTTAATCAAATTCAATATAGCTTTGTTTTCCTCTGCCCTCTGGAAGTCCACTGAGGTTTG